AGATCCAGCTCGAAGACTTGAAGGGCGAAGTGACCCTTTTGAAGAGGCTGATGGCCAGTACAGCCAGCACACCTGCTGCTCCAGCCCCTCCAAAGATCAAAGTCCGCGAGCCTACCTCATATGCAGGGACCCGCGATGCCCAGGAGCTTGACAACTTCCTGTGGCAAATGGAACAATATTTCACCGCTGCCAAGCTCGTTGAGGAGGCGGCCAAGGTGCGTACGGTTGTTATGTATCTTACTGATGTTGCTATGTTATGGTGGCGCAGGAGATGTGCCAATGTGGAGCGAGGATTATGCTCCATTAATACCTAGTCTGTGTTCAAGAGCGAGATAAAGCGTCAGTTCTATCCAGAGAACGTGGAGTACCAAGCCCRTCGGAAGCTCAAGAACCTAAAACACACGRGCTCATTGCATGAGTACGTGAAGGAGTTCTCCGCACTATCGCTCGAGATCACAAACATGTCAGATAAGGACCTGCTCTTCAACTTTATGGACGGCCTACAACAATGGGTCGAGCTTGAACTCCAGAGACGAGGTGTGAAGGACCTCGCCACAACCATGGCCGTTGCTAAACAACTGGTAGACAATAGGCGACCAAGCAAAGGCGGCCCCAAACCCAACTCATATCAGGGCGTAGGGAAGATAGGAGGTGATAGGAAACCTTACTACGCGCCCAAGGGAGACTCCAGGCCAAATAAACCCAACACTTTTAAGTTTTACAGGAGACCCGAAGGAGACTCTGGATACAGGGGTGGCCAGTTTGTGAAGAGAACACCTCCGACACCATGCTTCATCTGTGAGGAAAAACATTGGACTAAGGATTGTCCTAGTCGGGGAAAGCTCAATGCCTTGCTTGCAAAGCTTAGTGATGATGAGCATAGCGAAGAGGAGAAGGAACCAGAGGAGACAAGAATGGGGGCTCTACGAAGACTCAATGCAATGAAGAAAAAGACGAGCCCGCAAGGAGCACCGAAGTTCAAGCTGAAGGGACTGATGTATGTAGACATTCGCTTGAATGGTAAGCCCACAAGAGCCATGGTGGATACAGGTGCTACCCACAACTTTATCTCTATGGAGGAGGCATCCCGAGTATAACTTGCACCTACCAATGAAGTCGGATGGTTGAAGGCTGTGAACTCTAATGCCAAACCCATACAAGGTGTAGCTCATGGGGTGGTCTTGCAACTTGGTGACTGGGAAGGGATGATAGACCTCTCAGTCGTGCCCATGGATGATTTTCAGGTTGTTCTCGGCATGGACTTCTTAACTCAAGTAAGGCGGTGCCCATGCCCTTCCTCAACTCAGTGTGCATATTCGAAGATCAGGATCCTTGCATGGTTCCAATTGTGCCAGAGACCACGTCCACCCCCAAGATGCTCTCAGCATTGCAACTCAATGATGGAGTGCGGAAATGAGAGACCACTTACCTAGCCACATTGGTGGACTCCGTACCTGACCCACCAACCGGACATATCCCGCCAGCGATTACAATGGCACTAGAAGAATTCCAAGATGTCATGCCTCCCACATTGCCGAAGAAGCTTCCCCCAAGGAAAGAAGTTGATCACAAGATTGAGTTGGAGCCTGGAACCAAACCACCGGCACGCCCGCCATACAGAATGTCTCCTCCTGAGCTGGCCGAGCTACGAAAGCAGTTGAATGAGTTATTGGATGTTGGATTGATTTAGCCTTCTAAGGCCCCTTTTGGAGCACCAGTCCTGTTTCAAAAGA